AGAGAGACCACAGAGGGGAGAGAGAGACCACAGCTGAGAGAGAGACCACAGTGGAGAGAGAGAGACCACAGAGGAGAGAGAGACCACAGAGGAGAGAGAGAGACCACAGCGGAGAGAGAGAGACCACAGCGGGGAGAGAGAGACCACAGCGGAGAGAGAGAGACCACAGCGGAGAGAGAGACCACAGCGGAGAGAGAGAGACCACAGCGGAGAGAGATCACAGCGGGGAGAGAGAGACCACAGCGGAGAGAGATCACAGCGGGGAGAGAGAGACCACAGCGGAGAGAGAGAGACCACAGAGGGGAGAGAGAGACCACAGCGGAGAGAGAGACCACAGAGGGGAGAGAGAGACCACAGCTGAGACAGAGACCACAGAGGGGAGAGAGAGACCACAGCGGAGAGAGAGAGACCACAGAGGGGAGAGAGAGACCACAGCGGGGAGAGAGAGACCACAGCGGAGAGAGACCACAGAGGGGAGAGAGAGACCACAGCGGAGAGAGAGAGACCACAGCTGAGAGAGAGACCACAGAGGGGAGAGAGAGACCACAGCGGAGAGAGAGAGACCACAGAGGGGAGAGAGAGACCACAGAGGGGAGAGAGACCACAGCAGAGAGAGACCACAGCGGAGAGAGAGAGACCACAGAGCGGTGTGAGAGAGAGACCACAGCGGAGAGAGAGAGAGACCACAGAGGGGAGAGAGACCACAGAGGGGAGAGAGAGACCACAGCGGAGAGAGAGACCACAGAGGGGAGAGAGAGAGAGACCACAGAGGGGAGAGAGACCACAGAGGGGAGAGAGACCACAGAGGAGAGAGAGAGACCACAGCGGAGAGAGAGAGACCACAACGGGGAGAGAGAGACCACAGCTGAGAGAGAGACCACAACGGGGAGAGAGAGACCACAGCGGTGAGAGAGCCCACAGCTGAGAGAGAGACCACAGAGGGGAGAGAGAGACCACAGTGGAGAGAGAGAGACCACAGCGGGGAGAGAGACCACAGCGGGGAGAGAGACCACAGAGCGGTGAGAGAGAGACCACAGTGGGGAGAGAGAGAGAGACCACAGCGGAGAGAGAGACCACAGAGCGGTGAGAGAGAGACCACAGCGGAGAGAGAGCCCACAGCGGAGAGAGAGAGACCACAGCGGAGAGAGAGAGACCACAGAGGGGAGAGAGACCACAGCAGAGAGAGACCACAGCGGAGAGAGAGACCACAGCGGAGAGAGAGAGAGAGACCACAGCGGAGAGAGAGAGACCACAGAGCGGTGTGAGAGAGAGAGACCACAGCGGGAGAGAGAGAGACCACAGCGGAGAGAGAGAGACCACAGCGGAGAGAGAGAGACCACAGAGCGGTGTGAGAGAGAGACCACAGCGGAGAGAGAGAGAGACCACAGAGGGGAGAGAGACCACAGAGGGGAGAGAGAGACCACAGCTGAGAGAGAGACCACAGAGGGGAGAGAGAGAGAGACCACAGAGGGGAGAGAGACCACAGAGGGGAGAGAGACCACAGAGGAGAGAGAGAGACCACAGCGGAGAGAGAGAGACCACAGCGGGGAGAGAGAGACCACAGCGGAGAGAGAGAGACCACAGCGGAGAGAGACCACAGCGGGGAGAGAGAGACCACAGCGGAGAGAGAGAGACCACAGCGGAGAGAGAGAGAGACCACAGCGGAGAGAGAGAGAGACCACAGCGGAGAGAGATCACAGCGGGGAGAGAGAGACCACAGCGGAGAGAGAGAGACCACAGAGGGGAGAGAGAGACCACAGCGGAGAGAGAGACCACAGAGGGGAGAGAGAGAGACCACAGCGGAGAGAGAGAGACCACAGCTGAGAGAGAGAGACCACAGTGGAGAGAGAGAGACCACAGAGGAGAGAGAGACCACAGAGGAGAGAGAGAGACCACAGCGGAGAGAGAGAGACCACAGCGGGGAGAGAGAGACCACAGCGGAGAGAGAGAGACCACAGCGGAGAGAGAGAGACCACAGCGGGGAGAGAGAGACCACAGAGGAGAGAGAGAGACCACAGCGGAGAGAGAGAGACCACAGCGGGGAGAGAGAGACCACAGCGGAGAGAGAGAGACCACAGCGGAGAGAGATCACAGCGGGGAGAGAGAGACCACAGCGGAGAGAGAGAGACCACAGAGGGGAGAGAGAGACCACAGCGGAGAGAGAGAGACCACAGCTGAGAGAGAGACCACAGAGGGGAGAGAGAGACCACAGCGGAGAGAGAGAGACCACAGAGGGGAGAGAGAGACCACAGAGGGGAGAGAGAGACCACAGCGGGAGAGAGAGAGACCACAGAGGGGAGAGAGAGACCACAGAGGGGAGAGAGAGACCACAGCGGGGAGAGAGAAGACCACAGAGAGGGAGAGAGAGACCACAGAGGGGAGAGAGAGACCACAGCGGAGAGAGAGAGACAGAAGCCGGAGAGAGAGAGACCACAGAGGGGAGAGAGAGACCACAGCGGAGAGAGAGAGACCACAGAGGGGAGAGAGAGACCACAGAGGAGAGAGAGAGACCACAGCGGAGAGAGATCACAGAGGGGAGAGAGAGACCACAGCGGAGAGAGAGAGACCACAGAGGGGAGAGAGAGACCACAGAGGGGAGAGAGAGACCACAGCGGAGAGAGAGACCACAGAGGGGAGAGAGAGACCACAGAGGGGAGAGAGAGACCACAGAGGGGAGAGAGAGACCACAGAGGGGAGAGAGAGACCACAGCTGAGAGAGAGACCACAGAGGGGAGAGAGAGACCACAGCGGAGAGAGAGAGACCACAGAGGGGAGAGAGAGACCACAGCGGGGAGAGAGAGACCACAGAGGGGAGAGAGAGACCACAGAGGGGAGAGAGAGACCACAGCGGAAAGAGAGACCACAGCGGAGAGAGAGAGACCACAGAGGGGAGAGAGAGACCACAGCGGGGAGAGAGAGACCACAGCGGGGAGAGAGAGACCACAGAGGGGAGAGAGAGACCACAGCTGAGAGAGAGACCACAGAGGGGAGAGAGAGACCACAGCGGAGAGAGACCACAGAGGGGAGAGAGAGACCACAGCGGAGAGAGAGAGACCACAACGGGGAGAGAGAGACCACAGCTGAGAGAGAGACCACAGAGGGGAGAGAGAGACCACAGCGGAGAGAGAGAGACCACAACGGGGAGAGAGAGACCACAGCGGTGAGAGAGCCCACAGCTGAGAGAGAGACCACAGAGGGGAGAGAGAGACCACAGTGGAGAGAGAGAGACCACAGCGGGGAGAGAGACCACAGCGGGGAGAGAGACCACAGAGCGGTGAGAGAGAGACCACAGTGGGGAGAGAGAGACCACAGCGGAGAGAGAGACCACAGAGCGGTGAGAGAGAGACCACAGCGGAGAGAGAGCCCACAGCGGAGAGAGAGAGACCACAGCGGAGAGAGAGAGACCACAGAGGGGAGAGAGAGACCACAGCAGAGAGAGACCACAGCGGAGAGAGAGACCACAGCGGAGAGAGAGAGAGAGACCACAGAGCGGTGTGAGAGAGAGAGACCACAGAGCGGTGTGAGAGAGAGAGACCACAGCGGAGAGAGAGAGACCACAGCGGAGAGAGAGAGACCACAGCGGAGAGAGAGAGACCACAGCGGAGAGAGAGAGACCACAGCGGAGAGAGAGAGAGAGACCACAGCGGAGAGAGAGAGAGAGACCACAGCGGAGAGAGAGAGACCACAGAGCGGTGTGAGAGAGACCACAGCTGAGAGAGAGACCACAGAGGGGAGAGAGACCACAGCGGAGAGAGAGAGACCACAGAGCGGTGTGAGAGAGAGAGACCACAGCGGAGAGAGAGAGACCACAGCGGAGAGAGAGAGAGAGACCACAGCGGAGAGAGAGAGACCACAGCAGGGAGAGACAGCCTCAGTCCTGGGTCTACAGCCTCAGTCCTCTCAGTCCTGGGTCTACAGCCTCAGTCCTGGGTCTTGCAGGTTTCGACAGCTTCATGATGGAATCTGACATTTGCTGCTGTTTCTGGAGACGGAGAATTATCCGCTGAGTAATGAGTCTGAGCCAATGGGAAGACAGGACTTAATCATGTGACTCACAAGTGATTGGACTGAAGTGTTTCCAACGGCAACGAGAATAAAAGTGGCTGATTACACCGAGGGAGGTCAGCTTTGTTATCTTTGTTAAGAGAGCTCTCTCTGGCCTCTCTCTCTGGCCTCTCTCTCTGGCCTCTCTCTCTCTGGCCTCTCTCTCTCTGGCCTCTCTCTCTCTGGCCTCTCTCTCTCTGGCCTCTCTCTCTCTGGCCTCTCTCTCTCTGGCCTCTCTCTCTGGCCTCTCTCTCTGGCCTCTCTCTCTGGCCTCTCTCTCTCTGGCTCTCTCTCTCTGGCCTCTCTCTCTATGGCCTCTCTCTCTATGGCCTCTCTCTCTCTGGCCTACTCTCTCTCTGGCCTCTCTCTCTGGCCTCTCTCTCTGGCCTCTCTCTCTGGCCTCTCTCTCTGGCCTCTCTCTCTGGCCTCTCTCTCTGGCCTCTCTCTCTGGCCTCTCTCTCTGGCCTCTCTCTCTGGCCTCTCTCTCTCTGGCCTCTCTCTCTCTGGCCTCTCTCTCTCTGGCTTCTCTCTCTCTGGCCTCTCTCTCTCTGGCCTCTCTCTCTCTGGCCTCTCTCTCTGGCCTTTCTCTCTGGCCTATATTGAGCAAAACACAACAGCAGGTCTGTTTTGGACAACATTGTTTATGGTTGTGGCTGTTTAATGCTGGTAAAATGACCCGGGGCACACCAAACGGGCGGGGATAGGTGGTAGGTGAATCTTTAAAATTCATATTCAACATTTCCAGTACTATCTTCATCACAATTATCTCTTGTTCCACCTCCGGAGTCAAACGAAAGCGGGAAAACTGTCAAGAAATGCATTATTCCTCCGTTTTAACGTGGTTTTGATGGACGCCGCATGGTCCGGTGGAATAATGAGCCTTTAAAGACGCAGATGAAAGAAAAACAAACAAAGATGGAGGCCGCTTCAAAGCCGCTTCAAAGCAATTACGGCGCTCAGGTTTCAGCGAGAGAAGTCAAACGTGTGAGAAGAGAGAGGGAGGCGGCGGCAGAGACACTCGTCCACGGCTCCCACTGTTAAAGAGGAAAATGTGATGTTGATTTGAGGCCAAGTGTGAAGGAAAGAAGCAGAGGGAGGGAGAGAGGCAGCCAGCAGGGGGCAGTGTGTCGTCACGCTGACGAACCATGAGCGAATGTCCCGAAGGAGACGGGAGAAGGAAGATGTGTTAAAGCTGAGATTTACAACATTCTCACTCACTGCCCTGGAACTGGTCTGTCTCTTTCTCAGGTCTCTCTCTCTCTGGTCTGCCTCTGTGGTCTCTCTCTCTCTGGTCTGCCTCTGTGGTCTCTCTCTCTCTGGTCTGCCTCTGTGGTCTCTCTCTCTCTGGTCTGCCTCTGTGGTCTCTCTCTCTAGTCTGCCTCTCTGGTCTGCCTCTCTGGTCTGCCTCTCTGGTCTGCCTCTCTGGTCTGCCTCTGTGGTCTCTCTCTCTCTGGTCTGCCTCTCTGGTCTGCCTCTGTGGTCTCTCTCTCTCTGGTCTGCCTCTGTGGTCTCTCTCTCTCTCTGGTCTGCCTCTGTGGTCTCTCTCTCTGGTCTGCCTCTGTGTTCTGCCTCTGTGGTCTCTCTCTCTCTGGTCTGCCTCTGTGGTCTCTCTCTCTCTCTGGTCTGCCTTTGTGGTCTCTCCCTCTCTGGTCTCTCCCTCTCTAGTTTATCTTGCTAGTTTCTCTCTCTCTTTCACTAGCCTCTCTATAGTCTCTCTCTCTAGTCTCCCTCTCTGGTCTCTCTCTCTGGTCTCTCTCTCTGGTCTCTCTCTCTGGTCTCTCTCTCTGGTCTCTCTCTCTGGTCTCTCTCTGGTCTCTCTCTGGTCTCTCTCTGGTCTCTCTGGTCTCTCTGGTCGCAGTGATGTTTTACCTGTGGAGTCCAGTGGAAGGACAGCGGCAGTGGGACGTCTGCAGTGCACTCTGGGGCCTCTGAGGGGTGCTGTGGAGAGATGACAACCTTAAACAACCTCAGTCTGTCAATTATCGGAGTGATATTACACACAGGACTGGTTTATGGCAGGGGTGATGTGTTTCTCAAAGATATCCCACAATAAGGTAAACATACAGACCAGAGAGACCAGAGAGAGAGACCAGAGAGAGAGACCAGAGAAAGAGACCAGAGAGAGAGACCAGAGAGAGAGACCAGAGAGAGAGACCAGTGAGAGAGACCAGAGAGAGAGACCAGAGAGAGAGACCAGAGAGAGAGACCAGAGAGAGAGACCAGAGAGAGAGACCAGAGAGAGAGACCAGAGAGAGAAACCAGAGACCAGAGAGAGAGACCAGAGAGAGAGACCAGAGAGAGAGACCAGAGAGAGACCAGAGAGAGAGACCAGAGAGAGAGACCAGAGAGAGAGACCAGAGAGAGAGACCAGAGAGAGAAACCAGAGAGAGAAACCAGAGACAGAGACCAGAGAGAGAAACCAGAGAGAGAAACCAGAGACAGAAACCAGAGACAGAAACCAGAGACAGAAACCAGAGAGAGAGACCAGAGAGAGAGACCAGAGAGAGAGACCAGAGAGAGAAACCAGAGACCAGAGAGAGAGACCAGAGAGAGAGACCAGAGAGAGAAACCAGAGACCAGAGAGAGAGACCAGAGAGAGAGACCAGAGAGAGACCAGAGAGAGACCAGAGAGAGAGACCAGAGAGAGAGACCAGAGAGAGACCAGAGTTGTATACAAAGTTAGTTTTGCTGTTTGTAGTAAAGTTAGTTTTGCTGTTGTGGTTAAAGTGAGATTCCTGGATCACCTTCCCTGTCCTCCCCGCTCCAGCCTCCTCTCTCTGGGGCACTTCTGGCTCGGAGCGCGGGGGAAGCAGCTGGATCATGGAGCTATTTGTGTGATGTTTGTGCGGTGTCTGTGTGGTGTCTGTGTGCGTCTGTGTGGTGTCTGTGTGTGTCTGTGTGGTGCAGAGGTGTGCGAGGCCACGCGGGGGTCCGGAGCCCGAGCGAGAGGCTGTCAGCTGGGCTTTAGATCAGCGGCTCTCCCCCTGTGGAACCACCCAGATCCAGACCCAGGGGAGAGGTGATGGAGGGGGCAGCTTTGTGCCTGTTTGGGGAAAAACTAAACTTTAACAAAGGGCTTCATCAGGAGTTGGCGAGACACGTCTTTGCGAAGGTAAAAACAGCAGCATGATTTTAAAGTAAAGTGTACACTATTGTGATTACGATTCTACTTCGAATCTCGGATAGTGTTCGAATTTGAGGGAAAACCAAAAACTGAAGTTGAATTTCTTTTTTGATATTTTCAGAATGGCTCAATTATATTTCTCCAGTCTCTCTCTCTGGTCTCTCTCGCTCTGGTCTCTCACTCTCTGGTCTCTCTCGCTCTCTGGTCTCTCTCGCTCTCTGGTCTCTCTCGCTCTCTGGTCTCTCGCTCTCTGCTCTCTCGCTCTCTGGTCTCTCGCTCTCTGCTCTCTCGCTCTCTGGTCTCTCGCTCTCTGGTCTCTGCTCTCTGTCTCTCGCTCTCTGCTCTCTCGCTCTCTGGTCTCTCGCTCTCTGGTCTCTCGCTCTCTGGTCTCTCTCGCTCTCTGCTGTCTCGCTCTCTCACTCTCTGGTCTCACTCGCTCTCTCGCTCTCTGGTCTCACTCGCTCTCTGCTGTCTCGCTCTCTGGTCTCTCGCTCTCTGCTCTCTTGCTCTCTGCTCTCCCGCTCTCTGCTCTCTCGCTCTCTGGTCTCTCGCTCTCTGGTCTCTCGCTCTCTGGTCTCTCGCTCTCTGCTCTCTCGCTCTCTCGCTCTCTGCTCTCTCGCTCTCTGCTCTCTCGCTCTCTGCTCTCTCGCTCTCTGCTCTCTCGCTCTCTGCTCTCTCGCTCTCTGCTCTCTCGCTGATGGAGGATTCACTGGATTGATAAAGTATTTTTTGCGTTTCGTGACTTTGACTTTGTGTGTCTTAGACAATAGGGGGCAGAGTTAGGGGCATGGATGGATCTAAAAACAACTCCAGGATGAAGTCGAGGAACGTTGTTGAAACATGGAGACGAGAGAGAAACGGTCAGTCGAGAAGAACATGTCTCCTTTACGTGTTTGTGGCGTAAAATAAAATCAAGGCGTATCAAAACTTTTGCAACCCATAGTAAATACAGTAGCCTTATCTCTGGTCTCTCTCCTTCCGCGGACTCCCTCTTCCCCCCCCCCCCCCCCCTCAGTCTTCTCTGATTTGGCCGGGGTGAGAGCGACACAGATGTAAATGATGCGTTATCTGAAGATTGAACTCCACACGACGCAGACGCTCAAGAAGAGAATCCAGGTCAAAAATCAGCGTCTTACAGCAGATCATTACAGGAGAGGGAGGGGCGATCGAGAGGCCGCCGGAGTCAAATTATTAACTTTAAATTGGATGCAGATTTCATTCAGATAAGTGGGAAATGTGACTGTACAACATCTGGCCTGAAAAACCAAGAAATTTGTCATTGAGGCCACAATTCTGGACCAGAGAAAGACCAGGTTCTGGATCAGAGACGGACTAGGACCTCTCCATCTGGAGGGGAACCTGGTCTAAGTCTTCTCCAGATGCAGGGTTAGAGAGACCAGAAAGAAACCAGAGATAAAACAAAGACAGATAGAGCAGAGAGAGACCAGAGAGAGACCAGAGAGCGACTAAAGAGAGAGACTAAAGAGAGAGACAATGTCGACCACAATACAAGACAGTGTATTGTGGTCTACTTTGTTCACAACGTTTTACTTTTAAGAATTTTTTTTTCTGGAGATGTCAACTGTGATTCTGTTCTGTACAAACATGAATAGATTGGAGGTGGACCCAGGCGTCGCTGGTGCTCTATGGACCATGACGATCTCTGTACCTTGGGCTTGAGTTTCACCGTCAGAACGTGCCCTCGTCCGGCAGCGTCGTCCGCCTTCAGCCTCAGAGTCCTGAAGTCTGAGTCTATGAACAGCAGCCTGGAACAAAAGAGGTGGTCATAAAGACGCACAGAGCAGCGGAGGAGACAGCGGCTTTAAATCACACGTGAAGAAAGCATTTATCACACTCTGTCACATGACGTCAGACTCTGGCTTTAACAGACAGGGCTCGCTGACTTTAGCGAGAGAGCGAGAGCGAGGGAGAGAGCGAGAGATAGAAAAGCTGTGTTTGGGTGAGTGAAGCTCTCTCTCTGTTTCTCTCTCAATGGCTGGCCTCCCTCTCTCTCTGGCTTCTCTTACTGGTCAGCCTCTCGCCCTCTCTCTGGTCTCCTTCTGTATTCGCGCTCTCTCTCTCTGCTCTTTCTCTCCCTCTGTTCTCTCTCTCTGCCTCTGATCTCTCTTACTGGTCTTCCTCTGTATTTGCACTCTCTCTCTGGCTCTCTCTTTCTAGTCTCTCTCTGTGCTCTTCCTCTCTCTGCCTCTGATCTAGCTCTCTCACTGGTCTCTTGCCTTCTCTCTGGTTCCCCTCTGTGTGTATGCGCTCTCTCTCTGTGTGCTCTCTCTCTCGCTGGTCTCCCTCTGTGTGCTCTCTCCCTCTCTGGACTCTACCCCTCTCTGCTCTGATGTCCTAGTCCTATGGGTCTCCTTGAGAACACCATCATCAACTGACCATCAGCCCAATGACACCAGCTGAAACACCAGCAGAGAGGCCCTGATTGCTGACCCGCTAACCCCTGCTGCTGTCAGCTTGTACAAAGAACACCGTTTATGGGGATCATGAGATGATGATTGTGTGTGTGTGTGTCTACAGTCTGTGTCTGTAGTGTCTTAACATTGCCCTTGTAGATAAACACAGTATTGATCTCTCTCTAAACAGCGGCGGCTCTCGTTGTGAGTGATTTGTGTCCTTCAGGTGCAGTTCTTTCCCCTTGGTTTGAGTCGTGTCTGATTACGACACTGTGAGTTCTTATGTGAAGCTGGTTTAACAGATTTACAGCCGCCGCAGCAGCCGCAGCAGCCGCAGCAGCTCTCAGTGCTTCTGTCTCTCTCCTCATTTAAACACAGGACCAGACTGTAGCCATCACTGTAGAATTATACTGAATATACATTATAACTGACATCGACTGTGGATTGTACAGAAAGACCACAACAAAAGTGAAGTGTTTCCCACCGGGACAACAGAAGGAAAGGGAGGTGTGTGGTTTGGACCCGTGTCAGTTTTTCACCACAGGAAAGAAAGTCAAGACCAAGTTTTAAGAATTAATTTAAGAGAGAGGCCAGAGAGAGAGGCCAGAGAGAGAGGCCAGAGAGAGAGACCAGAGAGAGAGACCAGAGAGGGGCCGGAGAGAGACCAGAGATAGACCAGGGAAAGAGACCAGAGAGAGACCAGAGAGAGGCCAGAGAGAGAAACCAGAGAGAGACCAGAGAGAGAGACCAGAGAGAGAGACCAGAGAGAGAGGCCAGAGAGAGAGGCCAGAGAGAGAGACCAGAGAGGGGCCGGAGAGAGACCAGAGATAGACCAGGGAAAGAGACCAGAGATAGACCAGAGCGAGAAACCAGTGAAAAAGACCAGAGAGAGACCAGACAAGGGACCAGAAAAACTGAATGTTTGTCTTTCCAGGGTACAAGCCTCAGCTGAAGTCCTTTCCCCGGTCCCGGCCTCTGGTCCCTGGTCCCTGATGTCTCTCTCTGGTCTCTCTACGGTCTCCTTCTGTATTCTTGCGGCGCTCCGGCACAAACAAAGCGTGTGGTGGATTTACGGCACATTACGACGGTGTGTTTGACGCGGCTGTATTTCTGAGCAGGATTTACGGCGGCGTTAGCAGCGAGTGATGGAGGGAGCAGAACAACACCGACACTTATAAACGAGGAGACGAGGGAGCGGCTCATAAACACACAACTCTAAAGCCTCCAAACGCCACCGAAGGACACAAACGACACACGCTGGAAGGAGGGCAGGGCCTGGTTAGTGCTGTGATGGGAGACCTCTGGGAACAGCAGGTGCCACAGTGGGGCTGCTGTAAAGTGCCAAACTGTTGTTGTGTCCTTTGGCAAGACACTTCCCCCACATTAGAATGAGTCTGGTGTGTGTGTGGATAGTTGGTGGTGGTGGGAGGGGCTGATGGCACAGACTGGTTGCCTCGCTTCTGTCAGTGTGCCCCAGGGCAGCTGTGGCTAAAGTAGTATTTTATCACCACTGTGTTTGGAGAGAAAGAATGATGTGAAGCAACTTTAAAGAGAAAAAGCGCTACATGAAACAGATTATTATGATTAATAGTATCTATCTAGAGACTAGGGAAGTCTGGGCGTTCCTGCTTTGCTGCCCCGCGACTCGGCAACGGACGAAGAAAATGAATGGATGGATGGAGTATCTATCACTATAGCAGGGGTCTCCAACCTGAGGCTCAGGAGCTCCCAGTAGCTCTCCTGCCCCCTTTCAGGTAGCTCCTCAAATGATTCAGGATTTTAACATTTGATTATACTAAATGAAAACACTTTGAGTCACTGCAACAAATGTAATTAACTATAGATATATTCATTAAGTTCACTATTGTAAGCAAGTAATGTTTTTTCATATAGTGCATTTTACAGACCAACTACAGATGAAAACTAGCTTGGTAGCTATAATCCGGCATATTTACATTTGTTTTATACTGATGTTCATTAATATACATTGTCCCAATCAAATAAATAAATAAACGTCACCCATGTGCTTATCAGAGTTCAGACATTGTTCCATTCTCTCCAGAACACACTGGTCCATAAAAACCCCAACACTATCCATTCACTCACTCGCTACATTCAGACCTATTGTACATGTTTTTAGTGGTTGGGGAAACCGGAGCACCCAGAGGAAACCAACACGTACAGGTGCAGAGAACATGCAAACGCCACAGAAAGGCCTGGAGCTGGAATCGAACCCAGGACCTTCTTGCTGTAAAACACAACCTCCAACCGCTGCACCACTGTGTCGGAACAATTCAAAACGTTCACAATTTATTAACAGACAACTGCAAAAAACAGTAGCTCTCGGGCAATTTCTGTTGTGCAAAAGAAGCTCTCCAATCGAATACTGTCAAGAGACCCGAGATAGAGCGCTGTATGGACGCCCTCGCCGCAGAAGCCGCACCGCCCGTCAGAGACACATCACTCTGGACCGTCAGACTCCAGCTCGTGTTCGTTTACTGCTCAATCTGCAACAGCTTCAACAAACTTAAGACTTTTAAACAGAAACTATTTACCGCAGTAGAATCTGACAGCTCTCGCCTTCACGAGCTGATTTGCAGCCGCTTCTTGACAGAACCGATATCTTTGGCAGGAAAAGTGTGTGTTTTGACCTGGGCCTGGCCTGCGCTTTGTGTTGTGCGTTCGGAGAAGAGTTGGACAGTTTGTGTAGTTTGTGTAGTTTATTTTGGGCGCGTTGTCATCACGAAAGCTGAGCCCCAATAGCGGCTTTGACGTGTGGTGCCGAGGAGCGTGCTTCTGCGAGATACCAGAGGCGCCGTGGGTCTGCCGCTGGTAATTTTAGACACGGGGAGAGGAGGAGAGACCAGAGAGAGACCAAAGAGAGAGAGATCAGAGAGAGAGCAGCGAGAGACCAAAGAGAGAGAGATCAGAGAGAGAGCAGCGAGAGACCAGAGAGAGACCAGAGAGAGACCAGAGAGACCAGAGAGAGACCAAAGAGAGACCAAAGAGAGAGAGATCAGAGAGAGACCAAAGAGAGAGAGATCAGAGAGAGAGCAGCGACAGACCAAAGAGAGACCAGAGACTAAAAAGAGAGAGACCAGAGAGAGACCAAAGAGAGAGATATCAGAGAGAGAGACCAGAGAGGGACCAGAGAGGGACCAGAGAGGGGCCAGAGAGGGGCCAGAGAGGGACCAGAGAGGGACCAGAGAGGGACCAGAGAGGGACCAGTGAGGGACCAGTGAGGGACCAGAGAGGGACCAGAGAGGGACCAGAGAGGGACCAGAGAGGGACCAGAGAGGGACCAGAGAGGGACCAGAGAGGGACCAGAGAGGGACCAGAGAGGGACCAGAGAGGGACCAGAGAGGGACCAGAGAGGGACCAGAGAGGGACCAGAGAGGGACCAGAGAGGGACCAGAGAGGGACCAGAGAGGGACCAGAGAGAGACCAGAGAGAGACCAGAGAGAGACCAGAGAGAGACCAGAGAGAGACCAGAGAGAGACCAGAGAGAGACCAGAGAGAGACCAGAGAGAGACCAGAGAGAGACCAGAGAGAGACCAGGCAATCGGTCAGCGCGCGGGACGGACTGGGCGCATGGGGGAGGTGGGGAGGGTGGAGGTTCAGGGGTGAGGTATGAGCCAGAGAGGAGTGCGCTGGGGGTGAAGTGGAATGGAAAATGACTGCAGTGAATTTCTGATCAATAACATGAGAAATGTAAAATACAAAAGTTCCTCTCTCCTCCTCCCCCCTTTGTCCTCCCCCGCTCTCCTCTCCTCTACTCTCCCTTCTCCTTGCTAGACTCTCACTCCTCTCTACCCTCCTCCTCTTCTCTCTCTCCCCTTTCCCCCTCCTCTCTCTCCTCTCCTCTCCTGTCTCTCCCCCTTCTCTCTCATCTTGTCAAACTCACTCCTCCCCTCCCTCCTCCTCACTGCAAAATGACAAAGTGTATCTTAAATCAATAACATGAGAAATGTAGAAAACAAAAGTTCCTCTCTCCCCTCCTCCCTCTCTCTCCCTCTCTCTCTCTCCCCCTCATCAGCCAGAGTGGAGGTTGGGGGGGGGCACAGTGGGTGGAGATGATTCCGCTGCTGGAGATTTGTCTGGAAACATGTTATTTACCTGATTGACAGAGGATCATCTGACAGGAGACAGCTTACGCTAAACCGTCTTTTTGAGTTTTATCTGAGAGAATGTGTTTGTGCTTCAGGCAGATGCAGCTCAGCTTTAGTAGTTTGTATTCTGGTTTGAGGCAGCGGCACCCAAACATTTAGTAAGAGTCTTTACCTCAGACTCATCCAGGGACCGACAATCCAGAGAGTGAAACTGTGGGACTGGATTTTATACCTGTCCATTTG